TGTTGACCAGGATGGTCTCGATCTCTTGACCTCGTGATCCACCCGCCTCGGCCTCCCAAAGTGCTAGGATTACAGGCTTGAGCCACCGCGCCCGGCCCGAGCTCTTGAACTTCTAACCGTCAAAAAAAAACATACCTTCTCATTTCCTTCTATGCCTTTGCAAAGGCTGTTCCCTCAGCCTCTAACACTCGCCCCACCTTTCCCTGGGTTCATTCATCCTCCCTCCCACCCCTCAGGTCTCAACTCACATGTGCCCTCCTCCAGGAAGTTCTCCCTGACCCTTCAGGCTGTGCCTGGCATCTCTTCTGGACTCTCTCCATCCCCTGAGGTTACCCCATCCCAGGCTCCATGCCTCAACCTGAGCTTCTCCCTTCACAGCTCTGATCACTCTGAGATGCCACTGGTGGTGACAAGTTCATCTCTCTCACTGGACTATGACTGGCCCCCCCAGAGGAGAGCCCCAGGCTGAGCCCCCCAGCTCAGAGCTGGGCACTGAGTTGGTGTTCGAAGACAGGATTGTTCCTGATTCTTTTCTGGGTCCCCAGTGCCTAGTGCCAGCCCAGTCACACAGCAGGGGCTGGGTAAAATCTGAATAAATTAACCAGCGGCCAGACGGATTTGCCAGACTTGGCTATAGCATCTCCCTCCTCCAGGTCCCTGCAATCCTGAGGCACCCCTGGGTCTCACCCTCAGGGTCTGTCCCCCTCCAGCCCATGAGGCTTCACAAGGCAGGATGAGAGCTGACTCTCTGTGCCTGGAGCATGGGGCCTGCACAGAGGCGGTCTCAGTCAATGTCTGCTAAGTGAGGCAATGAATGGATGAATAAGCCAGAGCAGCATGGTGGGAGAGGGAGATGGTGGGGGAAGGGGATGAGGAAAAGGAGATGGAGAGGATCCGAGGATCAAGGGAGGTACAGTGCTGGCCTGTTGGGGTGGAGTAAGGAGGGAGTGGCTAGAGAGACAAGGCAGAGGCTCAGACTGATGCAGGGGGGCACTGATAGTAAGCGGGATGGGGTGAAAATGAGGGAGAAGGAGAAGAAAAGGGTCAGGCTGGGGATGGAGCGGGTGGGGGTGGGGCTCAGGAATGAGAAAGGGGCTGTGGGGAGGAGGGGGCTCGGACCGGGAAGGCTAAGGGCTGGGAGAAGGATGCCCAGGAAGGTGCTGGGATGGGGGCTGGGGAAGGACCCAGGAGCCTCTGGGGGCCCCAGCGGGGGCCACTCGGGTGGCGCGGGTCCCTTCTGGACCAGCCCCGCCTCCTCCCATCCCGGGTCCTCGGCCCCTGTCACCCCATCCAGGGCGTGGAAGAAGGGATGAGCGTCGAGGGGGCGGGGTCGAGGTACGGACTGGGACCCGAGACGCGGCCGCTGGACTGGAAGGAACAAGACGGAGGCAAAGGCCGAGGGCTCGGGCGGGGCCGGGGGCGGGGCGCGCGGGGCGGGGCTGCGCGCGGACAGACTGATACGCGGACGGACAGGCTGACGGCCGCGTGGGCCCCTCACCACCATGGTCGCGTAGCCTCCTCAGGCCCCGGCCGCGCTCGACCCCTTGCTCGCCGTTCTCGTCGCCGCTGCCGCCGCCATGGCGACACAAAAGGGAGGGCGCGAGCCGCGCGCGGGCGGCTGCAGACCCCGCCCCTAACGGCTACCCGAGGCTCCGGCGCGCGCCCCACGGGGGCGGGGGGCAGAGGGGGCGCGACGCTGCTTCTCATTGGCTCTGCCCTTGGCCTTAGGTCAATGCCCCGCCCACCAGGCGGCTTTTCATTGGCTTCTCCTTGGTCTCCGCCCTGGCTCGGTATCTTCAGTCCCACCCCCCGAAGTTTGACAGCGCGACGCCCATGACTGCTTTTCATTGGCTGTCATCGCCCTTCTGAGACACGCCCCCAGGTTCTTTATGCTTTGCTTCCGACACTTCCAACACGCAATGGACCCTTCCCTTCGTCCACTCACAGTGGCCATTCTTCTTTTTTTTATTAATTTTTATTTTTAAATTTTATAAATAGAGATGGGGTGTCACCATGTTGGCCAGGCTGGTCTCGAACTCCTGAGCTCAGGTGATCCGCCCATCTCGGCCTCCCAAAGTGCTGGGATTACAGGCGTGAGCCACTACGCCCAGACTTTTTGCCTTTTTTTTTTTTTTTTTTTTTTAGAGACATAGTGTCGCTCTGTCGCTCAGGCTGGAGAGCAGTCTTGCAATCGTGGCTTACTGCAGCTTCAGTCTCCTGGGCTCGAGCGATACCTCCCAAGTAGCTGGGACTACAGGCGCACGCCACCACGCCTGGCTAATTTTTCTAGACATGGGGTCTCACTATGTTACCCAGGCTGGTCTTGATCTCCGGGGCTCAAGAGATCCTTCTGCCTCAGCCTCCTTTCAAAGCCCTGAGATGACAGGCATGAACCACCACACCAGGCCCTGATATTCTTAATTGGGTTCTCCCACGGCCTCAGAGCAGTGACCCATTCCTCAATTGGCTTTTCAAAGTCCCAGTCCGAAGTCCCACCTTTTCAGTCCTGATCCCAACCCTGCTCACATCATCCCGAGGACGCTCTGCCCATGGACGTTTCTCATGGCCTCAGACACCTTGCCTGGGACATAAACCTAGGGTTTCTGCGACTTGGCCTCCCCCTGCCCACTGGACATTTTCTTGTCTCCTCTTCTACTGTTTATTATGGGCCAGCCTCCAGCCTTGATGGTTTTTTTTTCCTAAGAAAAGGTTTAGGGAGAAATGCCACAGCATGGTTATGCCCCCATAAAGCCAATCCCAGTGGATCCTAATATTACTAAGCATGCTCAGATAACACTGCAAAAATGCCCTTCACAAGAGGGTCTCTTCTTGGTCATGCCCTCCACAAGACTCTCACCTCAGAGGGTCTTGGTCTGTTCATTCATTCATTCATTCATTCACTCACTCAAACTCCAATCAATTTGTAGATACACCAAAGCAGGAAAAAACATGCCCTGCCCACAGTGGAGCTCAAAAGCTACTGAAAGAAGACAATGAACAAAATTAACATTAAAAAATGTAGAATATCAGGCCAGGCATGGTGGCTCACGCCTGTAATCCCAGCATTTGGGGAGGCTGAGGCAGGCAGATCACTTGAGGTCAGGAGTTCAATACCAGCCCGGTCAGCATGATAAAACCCCTTCTCTACTAAAAATACAAAAATTAGCCTGGCATGGTGACAGGAGCCTGTAGTCCCAGCTACTTGGGAGGTTGAGGCAGGTGAATCGCTTGAACCCAGGAGTAGAGGTTGCAGTGAGCCAAAGTCATGCCACTGCACTCCAGCGACAGAGCAAGGCTTCATCTAAAAAAAAAAAAAAAAAGAAAAATTAAAAAAGGAAAAATCCGAGAAAAAGAAAAAAAAAAAAAAAAAACTAAAAAGAAAAAAAAAAAAAAAAAAAAAAAAAAAAAAAAAAAAAAAAAAAAAAAATGGGGAAAAAAAAAAAAAAAAAAGATGAGTCATTCTTTGGAGAATAACTAAGCAGGGGCTGGGGAAAGGGAGTGCTGAGGGAGGCGTGAATGTGCAGTTACTTATATACTGAATTTGCTGACCTCACTCCCATCACAGGGATTTCCCACATGATCTTCCCTCTGCCTGGAGTGTTTCCCCATCCACCGCTGCAATGATTTTCTATTTTTTAATTTTTCAGTGTACATAATAGGTATATTTAGGAATATATATTGTGGGGGTACATGAGATGTTTTGATATAGGCATGCAATGTGTAATGATCACATCATGGAGAATGGGGTCCTGCAGTGATTTTTAAAATTTGCAAATTCTCTGACACTCTTTTTAAGACATGGAATCTATGACTGCTTTTTTTTTTTTGAGACAGAATCTCACTCTGTCACCCAGGCTGGAGTGCAGTGGAGCAATCTTGGCTCACTGCAACCTCCACCTCCCGGGTTCAAGCGATCCTCCTCGTGCCTCAGCCTCTCGAGTATCTGGGACTACAGGCACCCACCACCACGCCCAGCTAATTTTTGTATTTTTAGTAGACACAAAGTTTCACTATGTTACCCAGGCTGGTCTCGAACTCCTGATCTCAAGTGACCTGCCCACCTCAGCCTCTGAAAGTGCTGAGATTACAGGTGTGAGCCACTGTGACCACCCTGATTTCATTTAAATGTATCATTTGTAAGTCATGTGGCCCACCAAGCTTCACTCAGAGGTGCTGTCTCACTGGTGAGGCCAGGAAGTTGGCGAGTGTCGCACTCTGTCTGACCAGCAGCCCCTGGCCTCCCGCCACTGTGGAGTACCTCATCTGTATCCAAGGCCCCGACTATGCTCTTGTCACCTCCGACAGGGTGGCTGCCAGCAATATTGTCCAGATGAAGGACAATCATGACAAGATGTTTAAGATGAGTGAGAAAATATTACTCCTGTGTAATATTTTCACACAGCTTGCAGAATATATTCAGAAAAAAGTGCTACTTTATAAGATGCGAAATGGGTATGAACTGTCTCCCACGGCAGCAACTAACTTCACACACAGAAACCTGGCTGTCCTCGGAGTCGGACCCCGTATCATGTGAACCTCCTCCTGGCTGGCTATGATGAGCATGAAGGGCCAGCGTTCTACTACGTAGACTAGCTGGCAGCCTTGGTCAAGGCTCCTTTGGCAGCCCACGGCTGTAGTGCTTTCCTGACTTTCAGTATCCTGGACCAATACTACAGACTGACTAGCCCATGTGAGAGGGCAGTGGAGCTGCTCAGGAAATGTCTGGAGGAACTCCAGAAATGCTTCCTCCTCAATCTGCCAACTTTCAGTGTTCGAATCATTGACAAAAATGGCATTCATGATCTGGACACTTCCTTCCCCAAACACGGCTCCTAACATCATGCCCTCCCTCCCACTTGCCAGGGAACTTTTTTTTGATGGGCTCCTTTATTTTTTCTACTCTTTTCAGGTGCACTTTTTTTTTTTTTTTTTTTTAAACGGAGTCTTGCTCGGTTGCCAGGCTGGAGTGCAGTGGCATGATCTCGGCTCACTGTAACCTTCACCTCCTGGGTTCAAGTGATTCTCCTGCCTCAGCTTCCCCAGTAGCTGGGATTACAGGCGTGTGCCACCATGCCAGACTACTTTTTGCATTTTGAGTAGAGACGGGGTTTCACCATGTTGGCTAGGATGGTC